TATTTAAATAATTTAAGATGTTGCAATTGGGCCCCATTTTAAATTGGTTCACATTGATTTCAAAATGGTCCAAAATTTTTTTTCTTATATCTACACAAATTGAATTCTTGAGGTTCTTTTGATATACAAAATGCAAATGTTTTATATTTAGATTTTTTAATTTTGGTCCGGTTTTCAAATTTGTCTTCATTTTAAAGTCCAAAGGGTCCAAATTTTAACTTAGTTTAATTTTAACAAAACTTGAACTCTAATTACAATGAATTAGGGTTCTTTGAATGATCAATAGAAATAATCAAATATCCTGAATATAAATATGTACTTAGATTTATGATTTTGGTCCCAGTTTTCAAGTTGGTTCAAAGGGGTCCATAATTTAACTGTGTTTGATTTCAACAATAATTTTAAAGATGCTGATTCAGCCTGAATCTAACCTGTATTTAGTTTTTTTGGCCCTATTATGAAATTGGTTTACATTGAGGTCCAAAGGGTCCAAAATTAAACTAAATTTTAAATCTTAATTTGATCTTGGGGTTCTCTGATATGCTGAATCTATTAAACTTTATCTTTATACCATATTTATTCTGTGTTAGAAACCTATTCTTTGTCAAATATTTAATCCCATTACAAATTTAGAGCTGTTATAGCTTGAATGTTCTGTCCAAACTTGCATTTTTTCTTCATCTTCCACAAACTTTGTCCTTTTCTGAGATAACTGGTGTTATCTTTTTAAATGAAACTTTAATGAAAAGAAAAGCACAATATGTGGATATTATCTGATGTCAAACATTTTTAAGATGGCCACCAAGGATGGCACAAATTTCAACACTGGTTAATTTAATGAAAATTGTTAATTAGGGATAGTCGTGGTAGTTTGACTTGCTAAACAAAGTAAGGTTGTATATTCTTCCAAAATGGCAAACATTTTCAAGATGGCCTTATATGAAAATTGACATTAAGGAATTATAGCACTTTTGACATGCCAACAAAACAATGAAATTTTTTTTTAAAGATGGACACAGCAAATAAAGGGTAAAATTTTCAATTTTGTTGAGTTTGATTTTAAAGAATATTGATATTTAGCTGTACTTTGACACAGAGAACAGATATAAAGATGGCCACCATTTCAAAGATTGTCACTAAAAGCGGTCAAATTATCACCATTGTCTGTTTTCAATGTAAAATTATATTGAGAGGTAATTTGACATGCCAAACCAAATGGAGGCAATTTTTATTGTTGTAAAGATGTTAAGGGCTATTTGGACATGCTTAAAAGGAGTGGATAATAACTATTCTGCAAAAATGATTTGGCTTTAGTTGGGAGAATTTTGTAACTGCATCCACTTACAGTAAAAGTTGTCAATTTTATTTCCTGTCAGTGGTATATATGAAATTTTAAAAAAATGTGGTATGCTTGCCAATGAGAACAAATGACATAGAAGTATAGTTATAGGTCTTCATACGCCATATGGACTTCAACAATGAGCAAGACCTATACTGCATATATATTCAGCCATAAAAGGCCCCAAAATAAGAAAATGAAAAAATATGAAAACTAACAGCCTGATTTATGTATGTATGTTTTGTGGTTTTCAGATCTAGACTCGCAGCTAACCTTTCTGTCAGTGTCAACAACAACTGAACTTTCACAGCAGTCAACATCAGATTGGGAGACTGATAATGCTTCTAACAGAAACAATTTCAACCAACATAAACAAGCAACAAAAACTTTCCAACTTTAAAACATCAGTTAAATCTTCCATGGGGTGATGTCTCAAAAAATAACAGTTCATCATTTATGGAGATTTTAATGTTATGATTTTTCTTTTACAAGAAAATTAATGTACACTTGTTTTATAGTAAAACCTATAGCCGTTCAAGTATAAAAAAACACATTCAACTTTATTGAAATTTGAAGATTCATATGACTTATTTTTATTCTGTTATCTCTGAGGATGTGATGTAGAGCATTATAGGTACAGTAATCTTAACAGCTATCCAATTTCATTCAAAATTCTTTATAAATTTTGCACTGATATATATAGACTAAGTAATTTGTTTTTCGTCTAGTTATGGGAATTTTTTTTAGAAGCATTTATGATTTTCATGTTTGTATTGACCACATTGCAGCAACATAGATTTAGTACCTGGCAAATCTTGCCTTGTTAGCATACTAGGCTCAAAGGGTCATAAAAAAATTTCCATCACTAAGTGTCTGTTAAAATCATCTGTTTACAGTTTTCACTTTTAAACCATCATCTTAATAACTTTAGAAGAAGTGTCATACATATATATATGTATACAAAATTTAAAAACTTTTCAATATATATATATATATATATATATATATTGATAAAAACTATCAACATGACAAGATCTAAATACCCAAAATTTTTCTGAAAAATTGGACATAACATCTATGAGCTATTGTCCCTGAAATGTGTAAATTTACATATTTTCACAGTTTTCTGCTACTATCCGACAACTATATCAATATATTATAAGAATAAATTGCAAAAGTGGTCAGAAGAAACTTTTTTTTTACAGTCTGAACTTATTCTGAATTGTTAAACTTCTAATTTAAATTGATTGTGTTTGAAATATGTGTTTTTTATCGTTTTAGGTGCACAATTTGTCAATGCGATCTATTTCGGCTCCTGGGAGCCTCTAGATTTATAATGAATAATTCGTATTTATGTATGATTATTTTCTTAATGTATTAAATGAAACATTAATTATTCTTTTCCATTTGTTGTTATACTTATTTATAAGTCCAGATCCTATCATATGTCAGAAGTTACAAATTAGACGGCTAAATTGAGAAAATTTGAATATGCAGGTTACCCCATTTTGTTGTGGCATATACCAGACACCAACATTACTTGCCGAGCTTGATATTTTTTTTGATTGGGTATATATAGTTATACTTTGCAAGTAGATATGTTGTTTTACAATAATAAACGGGTCTTGGAGTATTTTGGCTCTGAAAGATGACCAAAATCAGCCATTTTGGACATGTAGCTAAATAAGACATATTGAAACAATTAGATTATACATACACCTAATAGACAGCATTGTTAATTCTATGCATTATTGCACTTAAAGTGATGTATTACTAGGAACAACTATCAAAACATTATAAATGTTACCATATTTTTTTTATATAAACCAGCGAAATATGCCAAAAAAGGCTTATTTTTGCTGTTTTCGAGCAATTTCATCTGTTAAAACATGGCGCTCAAAAAATATCCAGATCGGTTCAATATTTTCCCAAAAAAATTTGTGTGGTTATTTACATTACTAAGGTTTTCTGGCAGATTGGCTCTTAATGAAGAGCGTAATTCCTATTGAATGAAAAAAACATATGTTAAGTGGTCCTCAACCATATGTAAACATATAATGCAATTTTTTTGTGCGATACTGTGGTAACTTGTCATCTCAATAGTTTTTCTCAAGTTGTGTGCTTTATTCCTATAGTTTACTTTCAATAGTTTATGTGCTCTTTTTATGTATTTCTTCAATGTTTTATGGTTAATTACTTACTACTGTCTATATTGATCACACCTGTCAACTCTACCCATGTATATATAATCGTTAACAATTTGAGAACATAGTATAAGTTGTAGTGTGAACTGTCGTTCATTTTGTCTAACCTACTGACCTCAGTTATTATATTGACGAAGACATAATGGAGACATCATTGTTTTGTTTTTCCAAACAGTAGCTGTTATTGCCTCAAAACTGACTGTCATTCCTTTCTTTTACTCCGTATATTTTAGTCAATTATCCATGTAAACAATGGTAGCATTGTACAATTTAACTAGCACTTTAAATACAAGACTTAGCCACAATGCTAGCTACCCTTTGTACATGAGGTCTTTCTTGACACTATAAATACCACAGAAGGGCATCATTATTCACTGTAGTGACGTTTTGGATTTCAATGATCGTAATCTATGTAGTACTAGTAAATTATGAAGTCGGGGGTTTCATTACCACACATTTTACTTAAAACCTTTGCTAAATGTTACCATAGATCCTTAGATTTGGTTTGTAAGTTTGATTGTACCTGTACTAAGAGAAATTATTTCAAACGAAATAGCAAATCATAAATTTTACGGTTATGTTGTTAACCGAGCCCGGAAATCTAGATATGATCCGGGTAAACTTAATATTCCTTTAAACTTCTTATAAAGGTTACCAATTACACTAATTCTATTGGATGTTGGATGTGTTCTGAATGATAATTTAGTCTTAGATACACGAGTTTTTTTTAAGTTGCTATAGGCTTTAAACTAGCTGTCAGTAGCTGCGAGTATTCTCACATCTTTACTAAGGGTAATTTTGTTGTTACTGATGAGGGATAGGTAAATACCCTGCCACGTCCGGTCTGTGTTTTTGTTTGGTGTTCTTTCTGCTTTGTATCGATCTGATGAGTTAATCCTTTTCTCAACTGTTACACCACAGCTCCAGATTATGGAAGTGTTGAGCGCTCGCAAGCATGTTTAACCCCGCCACCTTCTTTATGTGCCTGTCCCAAGTCAGGAGCCTGTAGTTCAGCGGTTTTCATTGGTTCATGTCTGTCACATATGTTTTTCGTAAATTGTTTTGTTATTTAGTAGGTCGTTAGTTTTGAATTGTTTCATATTTTTTATATCGAGGCATTTTATAGCCGACAATACGTTATTGGTTTTTTGTCTAAACAATCGTCATAATTGCACCAAAAGAAGTCCAAACCGTAACCGTTTACGTGGTTCAAGGCTAAGCTAGATTTGCGCATTTATAGGTTTTTTTAATGGACATTTTGCTAATGAACTTCAACCTTGTAATTCATTTAACGTTCCATCTGTAATCGATGAGTTTTATGTAAACGAAATGTACATCTGTCATACTAAGTTATGAGCCTGTTATTTCTGATTTTTTTTTTCAGCAGTGTCACGGACAGAACACATGATAACTGAAGGACTATTGCCGAAATTATAGTAAATCTTATTTAAACCAACTAAAATTGATATTTTATTAACAGAAAATAACATCATAATTTGTATTTTGGCATGTGAATGTACTAGTATGGTCGTCGTATGCATAGCTGTAAGCTGTTGGACAAGGGTTCTTAAAAACTGCATGATAATCTTTCGGCCACGTGGCAGGGTTGCATGTCTGCGGTCGGTTATGGGCTCCGGCACAACAGTATTCATCCCTATGGAAGGCAACACAAGCGGATTTACAACCAACGACACGCCCGTTAACTCTTTGTTGTAATTCTGAAGGACATATGGCATTCATGTCTGTTCTACAAAAGGCTTCCTTACACCAGTAGGCATTACCTCCACCGTATCGACTCGTTGGTTTAAGGGTCAATGGAATGTTGAATCCATCTACCAAACTTAGATCGTAGAAATCTTGTGGGGAGTTCAAAGTAATCTCTGCAAGGGATGCTGGAGGTGCACCTTATAGGAAAGATATCATTAAGAATTTAAAGGAATATTATTTATATACATAAGATTACTAAGATCGATTTTAGAAATATTCTGCAAGCACGTTGATCAGAGAAATACTGTTTATAATTTCAAATAAAACACACTCAAAATGCTTATATTATAGATATTACTACACTTTTGTTTCTTTTGCATTAAGACTTTGTGTAAAGCCTCGCTTGTTAAAATATTTACAACATGAAATTTAAGCATAATGCACAAATATTAACCGCAGCTGGACCAGTTCATGATGTCATTAGTTACTAAATATACAATGCACGTGATATAGTTGTACTATGTCAATTTCTTATCAACCATGTTACTTCACAATCGAGAGTTCGTTTAGGAACGGAAAGTAAGTTTTTTGTTTTTAGTTTTGGGCGAAATTTATGTATTTTCTTTTGATCCAGAAAAAAAAACTAGTAATTGTTATGCAAAGGAAGATTTGATACCACTAATAATATAAATTGTGTTTATGTTTTCAATTATTGCTCATCTAACCTTGATTTTAACTTAATATAAGATAGTGAAGGGTAAAATATAGGATTCAATGAGTAGGACGCTGTGATATATTTTTTCTTCCTGGATAGCCTCCTTACAGCAAATAACATGAATGTATGATACTTAAAAGAAAAAAGACGTGATACATAATATCATGTTATCTAGGGTATATAGAACAGATGTGTATACTCTTTATTTGTAGATTATGATTAAGAAAACTATTCAAATCTGGTCCGAGTAATAGTTCTAAAACTACCTGTTGAGTGATGGTTTCCACAGTCCAACCAAGGTCCACAGTCCCCTGTGTCACAGTGAAAATGACCATTAGTTGTCCTGCAGCCAGTTCGTCCCCACCAACGTCCAGCAATAAGATCATTCGGAACAGGTATATTAACAACCTGACCGGGACTCATTTGCCATCCACCACCGTTGGGAGGTAAGTACCTTGGATTTGATTTAGTTCTGGCGTACATAGCAGCCCATACCGTATATCCACAGTTATTTCGCAGTGTAATAGTAGTCCCTGAACCTGTAATACAGACATTCAATCTTTTCATTTTTGTCTTCTGTCATTGTTCATTGTGTATGGTGTCTACGTAGCATTATATATGCTGGTAAACAAATAAAATCAATACGTACAATTATAGTTATATTTATATCTTGTCATTATTCAAGATAACTATGTGTCGTTTTGAGTGTGGTTGGTTCGCATAGACAACGCCAACAAAGGAGAACGGTAGAAGTAGGCACTTTATCACACGCTGTCAATTATCTAAACACATGCATGATTTTAGTAAGTATCTCTGGCTTAGGTTTTCGTCTACTGTGAGACGTGTTTTGGACATCTAAATGTCATGCCATCTTATTCTTCAGACCAAAGAGTTGTCTATAATGGTTGATTGTGCATAACGAATCCAAAAACCACAGTGAACTATACTCTCATTGTGACAAGGATAGGGTAAACCAAACCGTTTTGATTAAATACTAATGAGCTTATTATTTACATTGTATTAATCCAATACTCTACATACTTTAGTACTTTGAGAAAAAATCCCTTCCCTCCTTTTTTTCTTTGTGAACGTATACCAACGATAAACAGCGAATAATATGACCGACTTTATAACATACATGCACTAAGTTCACGAATTTATTTGTATCACAATATACGTACATAAATGCAGCAACCCAAGAACTAAGAAAATCCACATGGTGACGTTATCTCTAAAATTAATAAAAACATATATACAATAAAGTTACTCCTGACGAATTTGTATGACTACCATTTTAATGTTGGTGATTGGTTTTACAGCAGAAGAAATCTTCAATTAAGTACAATCGAGCTAGTATCTTTTGAAATCTGACATGAAACGTTAACACATTAAAATTATTTATTTCTTTGTTCATTTGTTTGGTTAAAGATATAAATACTGAGTAAAATGAAATATAAAAACTTAAAATTCAAAATCTAAAGTTTAAATGTTGACAATCGCGTTTTGTCTATATAGCCAGTAAAATTTGCAACTTAGATAGATAATTTGCTTTGTTACAACAATTTTGTCTATGTTATGTTTACAAGAATAGTTTATTTTCGAAATATCAAATATTGCTATTCTCTTCACTCAGTATAGTAATTACACGTCTTTTCAGGAACAATCTGGTCTGAGAACTGGCATAGTATTGGATTGTCTCATTATTTTATTGGTTTTACCGATTTACATCGGTTTCTCTCATATTTTTACAAGGAAGGACAATTTGTAACATTGAGTGGAAAAAAATAACACAATGGTTTACAAATGATTATTTTTGGTTGTATTGGTTTCTTATATATGCTTGCACACTTACAAAGTTTGTTACGTAATATTGAAAATAAAACGTTGTTGTATTAGCAAAAAAAACTTAAAAATAAACATCAAAAAGAAATAGAAAATTACTTCTATAAATTCAACCTCTTACCTATCCAACTGTTCACTTAGTTGTAGCTGCTATCAATTTGAGACTTTATTCCACGACAAGGTGTATAAGAAGACTTCGAGATAAGACATAAAGGTCTTAAACTAAGGGTCTAATTCATATCTACGTCGCTGATTTATGAACTTAGACATACATTTAGGATAAGACTGTGTAAGGACTTTTCATATCTCTCGCGTATATAAAGTTCGAACTCCGATATAGGCAAAAAAAGTGTAATATGCATCATTGACTTTAGTCATACAATGTTTTATTTGAAAGTTCAAACGAAAGACACAAGCAGTATTACAATACAAACATTCAATAAACAAATAACAAATAATCTAACGAATGAACAAAATACCCCATACGTACTATGTGTGAAGAAGGTTTAAAAACCAATCTATGCATTTGAATGGCAAGTGATCATGCAACATTTAGGAAGTTTGATGATCTTGTTTTTAACTTTTTGTCAGATGTTCGGAATCCCCTGGTTTCATCCATTTAGGGCCATTACAAATTTTACCCGCTAACCACTCAAATGTCTGTTCATGATTTCATTACATGCAGTTTTAAAAGGCATGGTTGAAAATAATCAAATCCTTGTTATTTTTCAAAAATTTAGAAAGAAAAAATGTGCCAATACGAAATGTATAAAAAAAAAATTCCCGTCCAATTTTCAATGGCTTAAATATGGAATCGGACCTTTCTTTTTTCTCCGTTTTTTAATTCCATTATTTATAAACTATCAATTAAAAACAGTTTTTATACCAGCTTCCTGTTTTGAAACAGAACTGAGAAGATCTTTAAAACAGCACGTGATGTTCAAGGTTCGGGGTTTGCATAAGGTGGAGAAAAATAGTAATTCCAAAGAATAAGAGGCAATGTTATGTTTAGTCGATGCTACTTATTCTAAGAATCGATAAACAATATACACATTTTTTTTTATCCGAATTGAACTAGTTTAAACGATATACTTACGTCGACCACTAACTATATCAAATTCTGCAGTGTTGAACAAATAAAAGACACATGCTAAGAAAAGGATCAGTCCACTGAATTTTAACATTCGGTCGTCTTTATTTTCTAAGAACTTGTCACTTTTAATTTAATTGATGGTTTAAACAATACATGATGTCATAAGCAAGCGTAAACATGCACAAAGCTGGATAATGCATCTGGTAAAGCCGGATATTGACGACATACATTTCAACAAATTTTAGTCATTATATATGTCTTTGTCATAATTAAAGTTAAAATTAATGTGTTTACACTTTCTGTTTTATTAACTGCATTGAACTTACAGTTGTAATTGTTCAATCACTAATTCCTAATTTCATCATTATAAACTTTTTCTTCTTCTTAAGATTTATTACTTGTAGGGGTTTCCATGCTTTTCTCTTTCTACTTAATATGTTGAGCGTGAGACCTGTAAGAACTTTTTTCTTGGCATGTTTGTTGGGTTGGTTGAGTTATCGTGAATGACTGTTTCAACACACGAATTCACATGTCATATATAATTTGTTCGTAACCTACAATTCTACGTTACTGAGTGTATTTCATTCAAAACTACGGTTTTCAAAAAAAATATTGTGCAGTCAATTCTGGTTTGATTTTAATCAATTTGGTACGAATAAAAGCAGAATTGTCCTTGGTTTATTTATTTATTTCGTTATATTATTGTAAGGCGTTTTTACTTTCTGTTGATATAAACACGAGTCGTATTGACTATTGTGTACCCTCTGCGTATCTAAACCAAAACGTGGTAATAGTCAAACAATTGTAACAATAGGATACCCATATTTCTGATTGGGTTCATTCTGATAATTTCATAGAAGTTTTAAGAAAGCAAAGGCATACTTTTTTTATTCGTTATAGACCGCACGAAGTCATTTCTCTTTCGTAAGTCCATTTTTCCTTTCTATGGGTAAGGGAGATAATTAAAACATCGCTTAGTACAAATAACTTTTCCCCTACTGTATTCGATAGGTGGTGAGGGGACTTGCAAATACAACAGTACATGCCTGATGCAAGCAGAAATATATTTCACCCATTCTTCTCAAAAGAATATCAGTAACCTCAGTATCTGCTGCTATAATAATTTTGTTATGAATATATTTGAAGCGGTCATTAAAGATGCCAAATACGTCTGGGTCCTTCTGTTTTCCTTCATTTGCCCATATAAAAAAATCTGACCGCCTGCTTTTCTTTTTTAAATTTATTTTGCTTTGAAATTTTCCTGTTTGGTCTCTTTTAAGATTCATTTATGGGAAATGTGTTACATTGGCTGCGTACTTGTACATCCTGTACATCATTGATACGGTCATAATTATAAATTAAATGTTTACAAAACTGGTTTTTCTACCCCAGGAATAGATTACCATGGCTGTATTTGGCAAAACCCTACGGAATTTTTGGTCCTTAAAGATCTTCAACTTCGTATTATTTTTTTTTAGGCTTTTGTAGACGAAACGCGCGTCTGATGTACAAAATTTTATCCTGGTATCTATAATGAGATTATTTATAACCAATGTGTCGATGCCACTGCTGGTGGATAGTTCTTCCAACCAGCCCAGTTGTCAGCACACTATATTGAAATGAAAAATGATTGATATAGTCATAATTATAAATAAACTGAATTTTTCGAAATACTATGCATTTTCTACCTCAGGAATAAATTGCTGCAGCTGTAATTGGTAAAACCTTTCGGAATTTAAGGTCTTCAATGTTCTTAAACTTTGTAATTTCTTTTGCCGTTTTAACATTTTATTTATTCGAGCGTCAATGGTGAGTCTTTTGTAGACAACACGTGCGTCTGGCGTTCAAAGTGATAAAGCTTGTATGGCTGTACGGGATGAACAAGTATACAGCCACACCCGGTCATAACAGGGACGATTAATCCGCTGTCCGTATACAGAGAGTGCCACGCTCTTTGAGGGTGTCGTAGGTGGCGTGCAGCAAGGCAAAATTTCTGCCCTTGTCCAATATACCATTTTACAGTGGCAGTCTTATTTTTCCCGATCTCCATCGCGGACGGCCTCTATCACTGGACCTACCTATTGTATGTATTGTTAATTTGTTCTCGTCCTGAACATGCACGAACTATTTGCACTGGACGTAAGGAACCAACAAATATTTGTCGATTGGCTCGCTCACTTATATTCATTCGACAAGACTGCAGAACGTCTCATACGTTATCTGCTTAGCAATTTGTACCAAATAGCATGTATCTCAACCATCTGATAAATAAGGTAGAACCTTTTTATTTGAGTCATTTAGTTATAATAACGATTACAGATGTAAACCTACCTAAGTTGAAAACATTGTCAACTGACCATTTAAAGTTCTTACAAACTTGCTACGAGAGATTAGTTGATTGTTGGTTGCTTAACATTCAGTGGCAAATATGTCAGGACGAGAACGATTACCAATAAATACAATGGGTAGGTTCTGTACGAGAGGCCGCCCGGGATAATGTTGGGGAAAATTTTGACAACCACGGAAAAATGAGGGTATATAGGATAGGGACAGATATTCTAAGGGTAGTTGGAAGGGTTCTTTATGCGCAAAGAGCTC